ATTACTATTACTATTAGTGGGATATTTAACAGGACTGTGTTGTTGTTGCTGTGGCTGTTGGTGTTGATTGACACCAATATTTAGTGCCGAATGACTGATGAAATTATTATTACCAGTGTTATTATTATTATTATTATTATTATTATTATTATTATTATTATTACTGGTAGTATTATTAATACTATTACTATTAGTATTATTATTAGGATATTTGACAGGAGTTTGTGGTGGTTGTTGTGGTTGATTAATACCAATATTAATTGCCGAGTGACTAATCAGATTATTATTATCAGTACCGGTATTATTATTACTACTAATACTATTATTTATATTATTATCATGATTAGTATTCGTACTATTATTATTATTATTATTATTATTACTACTATTATTATTAGCGGTAATGTTATTAGGAGTAACAGCACCGGTAGTATTCCCATTGATTTGAGAATTGGTGTTACTATTGGTGAGAGGATTGACAGCATTTGAGTTGACATTACTGTTTAAATTTCTATTGGTATCGGTAGTAAGGATTGGAGTCTTAGGGCTAGTGATAGTCACTATTGATTCGGTGGTGGTTGTGGTGGCCGTTGAAATAGTGGTCGGGATGTCCGGCGAGTCACTAGAGTCGTGTGATTGAGGAGTGGGTGTGCTCTCAGAGATGGTAATCGTCTCTATAGTTGTGGTCAACGCTTTAGTCACAGTCTTCTCGGGAGTGATCTTTGGTTTCTGGTCTTCGATCTCGATTTCGGGGATTTGTGTCGAAATGGGAATTATTTTGAACGACGAACCGTTCAGACCGTTCAGATTGGATGCAATACTAGCCGCCTGTCCACCAAAAATGGTCGATTGATTGTTTGTGGGCACCAACACATAGCTCTGATTGGGCTGTTGATAGATTAGGGGCTGTTGTGTGACCTGTGGCTGAGTTATGATCGGCAATAGCTGTCCGTTTGATAGCAATACGGCGCTCGCCTGGGGTTGCGGTGGAGGCGGCGGTTGGTTCAGTTGGTTCAGGTTAAGTAGTATCTGACCGGACAGTCCCGACAGTAAACCCGCCCCGAGATTAGTGTTGCCGTGAATCACATCCAATCCCTGACCGGTCGACACAATCTGCAGCTGTTGTGAACCCATTTGCGGACGAATTTGTATCGCATTTAACGCGTTATTCAAGTCATTGGCGGAACTGTTTGTGACAATCAGTCGCGGGGTGTCGTCGGCGCTCACTGTCGACAGGTTCTGGTCATTGAGTATAACAATTGGTCCCGAGTTGGACACCGTTTGACCGGAGATGACACTCGAGTGGTTCAACGGATTCAATGTATTCGGCAGAACAGGTGTCGGCGTATAGTTCTTGGCCTCCAGTCCTCGCTTATTGTCTTTGCGTTTCTTGGATTCAGATCTCATTTGTTTGGACGAGTTCTGCGACACACTATCACCGAAATCATTGGTCCGCTTATTACTAGCATTGAGTTGATCCAACTTCTTGTTGACACTCTTGTTGACCGTCAAGAACTCACTCAACTGTTGTTCAGTGATCTTCTTTGAATACTTGGTGGGCCTCTGGAACTGTATGTCTTGTGCCAAACCAGTGGCCGGAATGCCCGCCGTTTCCAGCAATTGATAGTAATTTATATTCTTTTCCTCCAATTCTTTGCATCTCTTCGTCAAACACCGGATCTCTTCGACTGTAAAGAGCGGAACAATTGAGACAACAAACCCATGAGTGGATCGCATGATCAGCGGACATACCGTGGATGGCGTTAATGCTGTTAATGTTGCCAAACACGAGACTCTCGTTCTTCTCCTTCAGTTGATTCACGTATTGAAACACATTCTCCAGAAGTCGTATCTTTGACTCGCGTTTCGCCTCTTTGAATGGCAACACATCCGCCAACTTATAGATCCAGTAATTGATTTTGTCTTTACGCCTCTTCTCGATGCCGTTGTGCGCTCTCCTCTTCAGGTCATCGCCTCTACTCTTCTTCGGCGCCGACACTCTGCACATAGA